TAGGACTAAGAATGCCTACTTTCGCAGATAACTTCAAAACTATCAGAAGAAGCTTAAAGCCTTTTTAGAGTTTGCTTGCAAAAAATAAATTATGTAATAGAAGTTTTCCAACAAACTCAAAAATAAACTTTTGTACACAAGTACTATTCCCATTAAATCAAAAGCTCCTGTGGTGCTTCTTCAAGCGCACAGCTTTTAAAGCACAAATTATTTTCAGATAGAGCTTTAAGTGTAGAAATTTAATTTTATTACATTCTTAAGTTGATTACTCATTAAATTAGCTAGCCTAATTTATGAGAAAAGGAGCTTTTTCAAGACAATATCTCTTATTAAATTAAATAAGGTATCAGCATAAACATTATATAAAATAGACTTAAAAAGACACCTCGAATAACTTTAAGCTTTTTAAAAGCTTTCACATGTAAAATAGGTTAATACTTTTTCAGCTTAGAGCTTTGATTTGCAAACACAGATAGAGTTTTTTCACACTCTTCAGAGCATTTCTGAGAACAAAATACATTTGCTGCACAATAAAATTGGATAAACTTAAAGGCTTTCATAGGATTTTTGAAATTTTTGCAAGCTTTCCAAGAAGAAGAGAAAATATTTGTAGAACGTAGAGCTTTTCTTTATAAACACAGTTCAAGCTTTTTAATTCGTCAGAGCTTTTCAGAGGACTTGAGGCATCTTGTATATGAAACTAGATGAGTTTATTGTTAATGTAAAAAACTGCTTTCAGCTTTAAGCTCTTGTTAAATTTTTTTTTTAATTTTGCTATGCAGCTTCTTACATTTAGTTTTGTATTCTTCTTTCCTTTTTTCTATTTTCTACCTTATCAATTCCAACCAGACCCAGACGAAGCTTCTGATTTTTGGTTAACGAATAAAAAAAGCATCAATACTCGTAAAAACGCACACATTTTTTTACTCGAAAACAAAATGAAAAACAGAAAAATATGAAAAATCTGCAACCACCACAAAAAAAATTAAAATAAGTGTCTTTATGTTGTTAAATAAAATTCCAAATGCTTTATTTGTTTACTCACTAATCAAGTATTATCAAAAAAGCCACAATTGATTAAATGTCAAAATTTTTTGCAAAGCAATAACTACTCAGTGCTTCATGGATTTGATTGATCTCTCTATTTGTCGCATACTAAAACACAGCAAAAATTTTATTTGAACAAATTTCAGTTACTGTTTTTTGATGTTTAATGTTTATTGTAAGGATATTTTAATTGTTTTCAGTTTTGTTATGTGTGTAAAATTTTTTATGAATTTCTGAACTTTAATTTGGCTTAAGTCTTTTGTTATGTAAGCAAAATACATACGTACCTTATTTTTTTAACATACTAATTGGCAACATCTAATTAGATATATAAATATTAAGTATACATATTATATAAGAATGTGAAACAAAAATGTGTTTTATCACGGAGGAACGGTAAAAGGAAATATTTTATGGAGTAAGAAATAAAAAACTAAAGAGTTCCACACCAACGAAGCCGTAGTCGCAGGATTGTATTCAGACTTGTCCTGACCAACACAAAGGAGCTTTTTAAAGCTCTCTCAAATTTTGTACGGCGGCGCAGACGGTAAAAGCTCTCAATGGTCCTCGCAGATATAAACCGGTAACGACCAAACATAGTCCGTAGAAGAAGCTTTTTACGGACCTTATATATGGAGGCAACACGCTACTAGACAATGACCAGTTAGAACTGCCACCACTAGCAAGACCTTGCTTAGTTCCAAGAGCTCCCTGGACCGCCCCCGGTCTACACGTGGCCAGATGGATTTTGCGACCTTAGATTCCAAGGTCTTCGCCCAGCGCCTGCTGAGCTGAACAAACGCCCATCAGTTCCTCAGGGGTTCTTATCTTGCCAGCCCACCGACCATTCAGTTTCCAGCGAATTTACCGTGACCTGAAACCCAAATGAACTTAATAGCATAATAATCCGATGCGGTAGATAGGGAAGTTAAGTAATCCCTCGCCATGCGGAACGAACCATCAGAGAGCCAAGAGTCATTAGCGCTGCTTGGCTGTTGGAACAGATATTCACCTCGTTGAAAAGCGTTACACAAATGAGCAACCAATCCGAATCCTCCTATATTGCGACTCCGTCTGCCTGTAAAATGTTACAGCGATCGCGTAGCCTGAATTTAAGGTTGATGGAGAGTTCTTCGCAGAAGACACATCCACTTACATTCCTCCATCCGAAAATACGTTTACTGGACACCAATTTCAGATAGTGCACCCCTTATAGTTCTCCCTCGCTGGGATATTGGTGATGAAAAATCACTTCGGACCCAACCTCAGTGTGCAGTGGTCTGTTCGAGTTGCTAGGAACTCGAAGCTTTTCAGAATATCAGCGTCCCCATAACCCGAAGTGAACTTAAAGCCCACCTCCTTGGCCTTATTGCACCGCAAGCAGCGAGCGGCAACTCTGCCTGCTATATCTATGGGCACAACGTTTATCAGAGTGGTTCAAAGTGGCTCACTGATTCCAATTCAGGCTGCTGTTTACACTCCTTCCAGCCGTTTAACCATGAAGGGCTTGCTTAGGGCGTTTCAGCAGACGAGTACCCCATAAAATAAAATTGGCTTCATTATAGTTTCATAAACCCAATAAACTAATTTCGGTGAGTAGGTAAGTCAGTTGTGACAGCCAAACTGCACTCAAGGCATTGACCATCCCTCAAACTACGTCCAGACTATCTAGAAATGAAACATTGGCAATTCTTGCAATGGTTTCGTAAGGCAATTATCGAAAGACTAATTGAAAGCTCTGGTAACGAGGAGATCTTAGCGTTATGATTCATTAGGGATAGTTGTTGGGCCTTATGAATAAAAACTAAGCTATTGCTTTTTCTTAAAATTTCAGATCTTTTCCTTAAATTTCTTTAATTAAATCGAGTAAAAGGTCTGGAATTTTAAGAAAAAGCTATTTCTTTGTTTTTATTCATAAGGTCTATTGTCTCAGTATAATAATGACTTGAAGCTACTTTTTCGATTACAAGTACGTGTCTGCTCCTACAACTCGCATAAAGAGGGCACTCACAATGGACAATCTGCCTCCGAGTGATAGTATGGTATATTCCACAGACGCCCTCCTAACCTAATCTCACCTACCGTTAAATAGTTGGCTTTTAAAGACAACAAAAAGTGTTAAATAAAAGAAAATTATATTTAATAAAAATTAAAATGCATAAAGCGAAAATAAATTTAAAAAACATTTTAAAATTAAGTGAAATTAAAACAAATATTTTTTTCTTCTTAAAGCAATAAAATCTAGAAACAAAATTATATAAAAAATAACAAGTTAATCAAAATAGATATCTAAATTTAAAAATTAATTTAAAAATGAAAAACAAATTAAGTTAAAAAATAAATAAACAAAATAAGTTCCTGAAAATTAAGTAACATTAAAAAATTACTTTTAAACAATAAAAATTAATAAATAAAAGATTATTTATAAAAAATGTACTTATTAAATTTAAAAGGAAGAAAAAATAATAAAAGTAAGTTTCTAAAAATTTAATTAAATTTAAAAAAAAACCTATAAAACCTTTAAAAAAATTTAACTAAAATGTAAATTTAATTTAAACACGAAAAAAAACTAGATAAATTAAATTGAAATAAAAAGAAATATTATTTATTAAAATAATACTATCTAAACATTATTTAAACAATTAAATTGAGAACGAAAAACGGGCCGGTTTAAGTAGTTCCTACAAAATATAGAAGCTCTATAAATATAAAATAAATGACGTGATTTAACCTGTGGCGTTAAGCACATTCTTGTTTCACGCCTTCAAAAAAACCCAAAGTGACTCAAACAAATGACCACGTGTTGATAGTTTTGAAATATTCGCAACTTGTTCGAACAAAATTTTTGTTTGTTCTATAAAAATACCGTTCAAGCTTTACTCACACAATCACAGTTTCAAGCTTTATACAAAATTTACGAAAACTCAACAAATTTGCATCGAAATTTCAATTTTTTAATCTGAATCTTTAGAACATTTTTGGGTATGCAGTTTTATAGCCCATACAATTTTGGTCTAATCAAGTATAAGTTTCAACCGGTTTAAAAATTGCGTTGATTTTTTTAAATTTTTTTGGAGAGTGCTTTTTCGTTTTTTTATTTTATATAATAAGAACAATTGGCATTGATTTTTTGAAATTTTGTTGCTAACGGTATCCCGCTTTTTATTTCATAGCAAATTCATGCTTTTATGGAAAAAAGTGTAAAAAGTTCTCAAAAATCAACCCGATTTTTTAGCCGGTTGAAACTTGCAACGCGTTAAACTAGAATTGTATGGGCTATAAGACTGCACATCCAAAAATGTGCTAAAGATTCTGATTAAAAAGTTTACATTTTTATAAAAATTTATTGAATTTACCTTAATTTTGAAACTGTGATTTATATGGTTTTGGTTAAATCTTCGACGGTATTTTTATAGAAAAATAACATAAGAAATTTAGCTCGAAATCATTACGAATATTAAAAAAAAAAATCAGCACGTGGTAATTGTTTGAGTCACTGTATATAAAATACTTAAACTAACAGTTATGCTTATATTATATATTAGCTCTTATGTATTTACATACGTACATAAAATATTTGTATGAATAAATAAATTAAAAATATATTATTTTGTACTTTTTTTCTCTTCCATTTGCTTTCTTTTACTACCTCTCTACCTCTCTCTTGTTCATTTTTTCTATTCTAATTGTCCTTAAAAACTACAAAAATTTTCTCTCAACAACACAAACATGTTTGCTCTTTTTTCTCTCATCTCTTCTGTGAAACAAACAAAAAAACACCTACGTTCAATCTTTCAACAACTACAACAACAACGGCAAACCACAAAAAAAAACTACCAACCAAACCTAATAACAACATCAACCTGCTACCACAACTACAAAACTGCCATCACTACTACTCCAACTACAATCAAAACTATCAACCAAATCAATCGTTCGTTCATCAATCGCAGGGCAATGCGGCGAATTCATCGGAAACATCGATGGCCACACAACCGGGCGGTTCGGTGACATCGCGAGCCGCTTCGGAGACACGCTCAGGACCGCCGGGATCGAGCAGCGGCGCTGGAGCAACAGGTAATAGCAGTGGTGGAACTGCTGGTAGTACACACACCGGTGCAAAATTCCGTCATGGCCTATTGCAGCTTATGATACACACAATAGATCCGCTACATGATGGTGAGTTCATAACGTTTCCATTAGTGTTTTGCACTTCCCCAAATATACACTCAGACAAACACATATGCCCTCCAACCCTTCCGCCCCCCCCACCCACTCAGCCATAGCCACAGACAAAAGCCCTACAACGAGTACCCCTTAAATTGTATGCCCTAATCCTTTAAATATGTACGTACACAAACATAATGCAGATTACCGCAAATCCCGTTGCTTTCCCACCACAACAAATAACAATAGAATTTAACATAAAGTAAACAAATTGAAACGAAATATAATTTAATATAAAACAAAACCTATGAAAGAAAAATATTTTTTCAAAGCTATTAATTTAAAAAATAGCAGCTTCTATGTGCTTAAGTGAAAATTTAAAAAAAAAAAAAAAAACAGTATAAAGAGCAAGAAAATTTGCAGAATTCCGTTTTTCTGTTGTTTCGTTGTGCGCTGCAAAATTTATATACATATATATTTATTAATGAATAAAAACTATAAAATTATTAAGCGAAAATTTATTTTTATTCAAATTTTTTTAATAAAATTGTCGTTAAAGCTTAGTGGCAAAATTAAAATTTAAACAAAAAGAAAAATATTTATTGTTGCTTTTGAGTTTCGCATTCGAAATTAAACCTGCGTTAATTGTTGTTAGTGTTGCTTCAGTTTCGATATTTCGTTGGCTGTTACAAAACCTAAGTATTTAAATGTTTTCAAAATTTTAAAGCTTAAAGCTTTGGTTAACTAAAATTTAAATAAATATACATATATTTGACTCTTTGGGGCTAGGCGGGTTAAAAGAGTTGTGGCAAATTTTAACCTGCCTGACACAAATTGCCATTATATTTGAAGACTTTTAACCAGTTGATAAAAAACAACTGTGCAGTCAGATTATTTTATCTTGCATCATGCGCCTCAACGGGTTAAATGCAGTTCTTAGTTAAAAATCATTAAAAAAATTTAATTGCTTATCTATTTATTATTTTTTTTTTTTTAAATTCTTCATAGCTAATTAAAATTCAAATAAACCCATACGATTAAAAAATATTTAGGGCAAGAAAAATAGCTTTTCGGTTTTTATAACTTAATGCATATACAGGGTGATAGGCAGAGAACGGCTTTAATTTTATTTGAAAAGTATCTACATTCCAAAAATAATGCGAAAATGCATTCCAAACAATTACGGCATAGGTTATTATTTTATTAACCCTTTCAGGACTAAAAGCTTATAAGTAAAAAAAAAAAAAAAGCTTGAGTTATGGATTGTTCTTTTAAGTGTTGTATAATCATAACTTTACAAGAAATTTTTTTTTTTAATTTTCCGTTAAAATAAAATTAACGAAACTACTAAAACTTCACATAATTTCTTTATTTGAGTGCCTGAAAGTAAAAACTGGACATAAAGCGAGCAACATTTTTTTGAACATAAATTGTTAATTATTTAATAACTGTAAAAAAAAATTGTTTGTTGACACAGACATGTGGTCATTCAAAAACTGTTTATATTTTTTAGTAATTTAAAAACTGGACATAAATTTTTGATTTTTAAAAAGGTGTTAAACAATTGTTGGTGAAAATATTTTTTGGTAGCTTAATAGCTTGACGTAAATGTTTCTTCATTAAAAACTGGACATCAATTTTTGGTCAACTGAATCATGCAAAAACACTTTTGATAGAATACTTGTCATTCTTAGGATTGCAAAACCTAGACACCGTTTTTGGTAGCTTAAACACCGGACACAAATTCTTGGTCCTTAAAAAAACTGAACCTCATTTTTTTAGTAATTTGGTACAAAACCTTGATATTATCTTTCTTTCGTTGGACATAAATTTTTGGTTGTTTGAATATTTGACATAAATGGCTGGTAATGCTAAAACTGGAACAAATTTTGAGAGTAGATATAAAACTTGACATAATTTTTTAATCACTTAAAAACTGGACATATTTTCCAGACTATTTAGAAACTAGACACAAACTGTTAGTTAGTGCGAAAACTGGACGTAATTGTTGCCAATAAAAATAAATTTTTAGTAAATTAAAATCCGGATATAAATACGTATTCAGTTATTCAAAATTAACATAAACGTGTACATAAATTTTTGATCCTTGAAAAAAAACAGATATATTTTTTTTTGGCCACAAATTCTTGGTGAATAAAAAACTACAGTTTACTTTTTGATTGAGAATTGGAAAACTTGACATCATTTTTTGCTCTCTGAAAATCTGGACATAAATTCTTAGGGAAAATATTTTTGGGAATTGAAAAACTTTTTTTGGTGACTTTAAAACTGTACATAAATTCCTAGTAATATAAAATCTGGACCTTAATTTTCGTAATTTAAAGACATATCATATTTTTTGACTATATAAAATATGTACATACATAAATTTGTAAAGCAAATTTGGGGACATAATTTTTTTGGTAATTTAAGTAATTAACGTAATTAACATAAATCCATAGTAATACAAAAAAATTTAGACAATTTCGTAATTAAATATCTGGACATAAATACTTGGTACTGCGAAAACTGGACTTTAATTTTTGGTAATTTGAAAATTGAATATTAAATTTGGCCTTAGTTTTTGGTAATGTCATAAAATTTGGCAAAACTGGACATAAAAATTTGGTATTCTAAAGACTGGGCATAAATTTTGGCTGATTAAAAAATTAGTATAAGTTTTTGGTAACTTATAAAGCGGACAAGAATTTTTGGTCATCTAAAAACTGTCAATTTTTTTTTTTCTTTGGTACTGAAAGGGTTAATATCCGTTTTAAGTGGATTTTTCGATAACTTGCGGTCGATATTTCCAACAGCTTAGCCATTAATGTTCCAAATATGGAAGAAAGCTCTTTGTGGGGAGCTCTGAGTCGTGGTACTCCACTTTCCAATTCCAATACTAGCTTAATAGAATTCAACATTTATGCTACTATTGAAAGAAATCATCAAAAAATTTATATTATTCGTGGAAAATTTCGCCAAAAGATTCATAAGCTTAAACAGAACTGGCATTAGGCCCATCGACTGGATACCAAAGTTGCCCTCACTGCGCTCTATCTAATGATAATAACGTTTCACGGGTACCTTATCTTTCCAGGTCATAAATTTCTCGCAATGTCTCTACCAAAAGTACTCCGATGCGATTTGTAGAACGATTACAGATTTCCTTGCACGCCCAGTTGCTTGGCTATCAGAGTATGTATATGCTTAGCCCCTTCATTGATATCACACTCTTGAGCAGTAAGTCCACTGCTACTTTAAGGCCACTTACTTCTGTATAAAAACACTGCGTTCCTGAGTTTAGTGTTCATGGAATGTTCCGGGCTGACAAGATCTCCATCAACCCTAACTTCAAGTTCGGATCTATCCGTAAAAAGTTAATCGCTCGTTTTTTTCCAGTCACCCCGACCCACCCAAATATCTGCATAGGGAATGTATAGTTGGTCGAGAAGAAGCTAATCGGATTCCCTTAGCCTAACAGCAGTTCATGTTGCGGTAATTCTACCTGCCGTATCGACAGGCCTTATGTCCTGCACGACACTTAGCCCCACTAATACCAATTATGATAGCGCGAATATCACCACTCTAGAAATAATTATTATAAAGATAATAAACTACTTTGGTCGATAGTACCCATCTATCTATTACCAATATCTGTCCTAAAGCATTAAGTGTACGGTAACCGACGCCTTTCTTCCCCTTTCCAGATGCATTTTTCTCGACTTTTACGGCAGATTTCTGTCCAGGAAAAGCTGTAAGGGCTTGACCTCCGAAAAATACTGACGGTACAAGGTATCTGCTAAAAATCTGTATACATTTACCAGAGGCTTTTCTTCACAAATCAGCTCTACTCTCCTTAATTCTTATAATTAGGATTAAATGTTTATTTGCTGTAAGGAAGCTCTTTTATGTTCAAGACACCAAAATATTTCAAAAGAAGACTCGTTTTTAGAGAGACGGAAATTTTTGAATGCCCTTAATCAGGCTAGCGGTTAGTGGATAAGTGCCTATGCCCATTCTTAATGTTAAGTTCTCAAAACTTTTTTCTCGTTTTGTTCTTTAGCAGAACGTTCCCCAGAATTTTGTTCTCATTTGATTCTCCCTGAAAACTTTCTCAGTGCTTTCGTTCTCATTTTATTCCTTTTGGGAATGTTCCTGAAGGTTTCGTTGTCACTCTGTTCTCCTGGAGAACGTTGCCGAGACTTTTGTTGGCATTTTGTTCTTTACGGAAACGATGCCGAACCTGTAATTTTTATTTTGTTCTCGTTCAAACTGCTCTAGACACTTTGTGGCCATTTGGTTCTTTTGTGGATACGTTCTTGATATTTAATTTTGTTCTCGTTCAGAACAAAACCAAACCGGAACGTGTTCTCGGCCCCTGAAAACAAACCCTTTCTTCTTCTGAATTTCCACTTTCTTTAAGCATCTTCTGTGTATACTTTTTCCCCCGAAACTAGTTTCCGAATTTTCGTCTATAATCGAATTTAACAAATTTTTTGGCTCTTTGCTACTGCAAATTTTATTTAATTCAAAAAAAAAAAACAAAAACTATCTCAAACTCAAAGCTCAGTTGTTCCAAGCATACCTACATACAAACATGATGTGTAAATATGTTTTCAATACCATCCAAGCAACAAGCATATTTAACTGTATTACAAATATACATATGTAGGTACCTACAATATATCATATCAAGCAACCGAGACTGTAAATTTCCACCAACCGTTCTCTCCGTAGTTTAATTGTGTTTTTTCTGTAATTAAGTCATTTGAAATTTGAGAAACTATAAATTATTCTGTGTTTCTTATACACTTCAGTTTGTAAAATAAGTAACAGCGTAACAATACCCTCACATCACCCTGTATATAAAAACAGCGAGATCGTTATACTACAATATGAAAATTTTACGTTACCTTACGTCAGTTTATGTAAAAAGAAATTTGCAATTTATGCCATTTGTTTATAAATATTTACGTACGTACATATCATTTCAGTGTTTAGTTTGGTTTTTG